TCGCGCGTCACGACTCTTGGAGTATCGATACTCACTGTCACGCTTGGCCATTCTCTCCTTGCCCTTGAGAACATCTTCGATGATCTCTTCGAGCTCGTGAATGTCGGCGACCCGAGCGTGGTAGAGACTCTCCGCCAGCTTGTCATCATCGCATGTTGCCAGGAACTGCTGTACGTGTTCTTTTCGCGTCGCGACCACTCTTCTCGAAGTGTAGACGGGCGGTCCGAGCATAGCCATTCAGCCTGTTTACGTAGTCGCACAGATGTTCATTACGTTCCCGCTTGGCGGAGTAGTAACGCGACAGTGCCGTCTGCGTGAACTGCGAGCAGTAGTAGCGGATGAACGCGTCGCTCAGCAGCTTCCACTTGCGCTTCGTCTTCTTCGGAAGTTGACGGAACCAATGAATAGCTCCGTCCCGGAGACTTAACTCAAATGGAATGCACCATTTATCGGCATCTGTGTGGGTTCCAGTCATTTCATAGACGAACCCACGGAGCCACTGCATACAGTTCTCGCTCTTGTTGCGAGAGCCTGAGAACGGCGTGATGTGATCCAGCGGTCGGTGCGAAGCCATTTCAATCCTCGGTGTTGGGTCCACGTCGTTCAGCGTCGCTAGCTCATTCATCTGACGCATCAACTCGAGTTGAGGATCTTCCTCGTCGAATGTACGCACCAAAATGTCATCGTCACTGGACGAACCATCGCTGTCGACTTGACGACGTCCGGCACCACCTTTGGAAGCTCGCGCACCGCCTCGGCGACCGAACGAACCCTCGTTACTTGCGTAAATACGTTGCATACGGCTCTCCGAACGTGGCGTAACCATGTGCGAGTCTTGAAAGTACGGTGAAGCTTCGGTAGTGCCAAAGGCACCACGCTTGGTCGGAGGAGTACGAACGAGTCGTTGGGGCGTCGGCGGCAGTGGAATCTTAGACGGATCTTCATCTTGAATCATCGGTCGACTCCAGGCTGCTTTCCGGCATTGATGCCAACAGCGCCAAACGCCTTCCGAAGCTTCTTCTTCCATTTCTGGAGAGCAGCTCCGGCTTCGTGTGGACTCCAATCCTGGAGCGACATCGTCGATGGGTACGTCTCGTTCTCGAACCCCAGCGACAACAGTAGCGAAACTGAATCCTCGGCAACTTGGCTAGTCGAAACCGAGTTGACTGGGTATTGAAGTTCCTGCGCAAGCGCAGGCCAGTCGGCTTTTTTCTTGGGGATGGGCTTGAACAGCTGCATCCACTCATCATTCTGCATCAGCGCTTGTACGCGGTCGAAAACGCGCTTGGCGGCTGGTGTATCACCGTTGATAGGTGGGCGAGGTGCCTTCAGCAGCGCTGAATGCTTTGCACTTGCCACCGAAGGTTTAGAACCCTCGGTCCCATCGTCATAATCATCGTAGGCTGGTTCTGGTCCCGCAACATCATCGAGCTCGTCGGCGAGGCTCCTCGAAAGGGACCTGGTCGCCCCGCTCAGCCCCGATGATAGCGTGGCCGTCTCCGGCGTCGCTGCGCCTGGCTCTGGAGCCGGCGTCTTTGTCTTCGTAATCGTTCATAGTCGTGGGGCGTCAGGACCGATGTCCGGATTCATCGTCGAAGCTCACTGAAAGCTCGTGTGTCGGATGTAAGAGCGTGCGGACGGGGTTGAAATCCCGGCTGCGTGCCTGCAGAAATTGGACGCGTCGACTGTTACAGTCGTGTGACATTCACATATTACAGCCCTTCACCTATCAGCACCGCGTCTAAGCTCAATCACTCAGCGGCTGACATATACGTAAGAGGA